TTAAAAGTTTTTCTCGCGCTTTCGATGGAATTTCTAGCATAAGTTAAGGTTTAAGAGAAGGCAAGTATTTTGAAGGTCGTTTTGAGGAATTTCAAAATTTTGAGGTGTATACTTGTAGGAAATAATCGCTCTAACAAACAAATTGAATTGCAATTGTGATTTGTTTCACAAGTTCTGTATTCCCCACCTTATCCTCCATTTGTCGATTGTGAAAGTTTGCCGCAATAATTTGAAGACTACCAGATATTTTTCGGAAAAGGTCCAGGTTATCGGTGCGATGCTTCCTCTTCATTGCTTGATCCATCTGCAAACGAAAAACAATTTTCAATAATTTCATAGCTTTTTTGTCTTCTTTTTTGTCAATCCAACCTCGATAAGACTAAGCAGCCTTAGCCTTGGTGTGTGAAATGGAGGCATTGAAGGCTTCCTATCTGAATTGCTTTCAGGTCCCGCTTGTGTTTGAGAATCTTGAAGATTTTGGCAGTAAATATTTGTTACGAATAGTAATGAGGTTAGCACAATACCTCCTAGAGTCGTGACGCTACTCACAACGCTTTGATCTGATTCTTCTAATTGCTTCAGTTTTAAAAGTCGCGGTAGAGTTTTTACGAACAACCAACGCTGCCATGGTGACATCTCGGAAGCGAAAGCTTGTCTACAAAAAACAAACTTCAGTTTGACGCCTTTGAGGGCAGGAATTCTGGAATAATCAGAATAATGGTAAAATTTGTTTACAAACCTTCTGTAAATGTTAACGTTGACGACACTAATCAAAATGGATACAGTAATCATCATCAAAGTGAAAAGTAGGTATTTTCCTGAATTATTACTGAGTGCTGAAAGAGAAGAACTAAAATGTGCAACCCACCTATTAATGGTAAAACTAAGGAGGTTGGAGGAATAAGTTCGATTAAAACCAGATAAAAGAGGGTGAACGCCACAAAAACGGAGATGGAGAACGTCATTTTGTGCTCATTTGGTGGAATTACAAAGACGAATGGAGTCAGATTAGCTCAAGCAAATCATTGATCTATTTCATGGGTACTCGTTCTATATCGGAAATTCACCTACCTATTAACATACACGGTATGGTCAACATAACCGTGAAGAATATGGCCTTTCTTCTTATCACAATATTATATCGTATATCGATATAAAACTGCTGTCCGCAACATCCTGGGTAGATTTGCGCGTAACGAGATGAAGTAGCGCTCAATAGGTCCCACTCCGCACTTCTGAAAAAAAAATGATAGCGACGATTATCTGTGTCATGAAGAGCTAACTTACTCATGGTAAAAGCTGAGTCCCAAGCCTTGTTCCAGGTATAAATACTCGGTACCGCTTTGGTCTACTCTCCTTTCTGGTTTGTCTTTTATGTTAACAGGGATTTGTTCAAGGGCTAACGTTTGACCATCATTAGACCATCCGCCAAACTCGAGAATAGAGCTTTTTGCACATCGAACAGACAATTGATCAGATAAAGTTTATAGAGAGGGTTGTTATACAATTATTTTGAGCCTTCTTTGCAAGCAAAATTACCTTCAAATTACATTCCTGAGAATCGTAGGGAAAATTCTCGATGTTGATCTAAAAAAATCCGTCTTTGATGAAATTATCTGAAATTATTATTTCTGACATTGCACAAGCTCTTATAAATAGATGGTGGCT